AGTGTTTATTACAAATTTTCCAATCTCATATCCACTTTCACTGATCTTTTCTAGTCTGTTGTTGCGTCACCGAGAAGAGATTTACAGAAGCACGTTATGTTGAGATTCACTTTCTTCAACTGATTCCAGAACGCATTTAATTCCCTCTAAGTGCAAACGTTAACTTCACGTCGAAGACACTTTTATGACAACTAGCGATAACTTCTTAATAAGCAAAATATTTGAAGAGTTCAGAACACCATAGATTCATAGAAGAAAGTTGCGTTTACTGAACTAGGAGTTTATATGATTTTTACACAGTGTTCTATCGGATTTAAATATGCTAAGAATCAAGGATTTCAAAGAATTTTAGGCGAAATCTGCAAGTCTTATGACTTTCGATCAAGAGTGGCGGCGGCAAACATGAACAATACATTGATGAACGCCATTTAGCCCTACGGGATTAAATCCTGTTCAATCATTTGCTTTCATATTGGAAACATGAGCTTTAAATCAAGGAAGTAGAAGCAATATACACCGTGAGCTGAGGGTAACCGGACTTTCATTGTGGTGAAAAAAGGAACTTCCACCGTGTAAACATGGATTTGCAGATTTTTAGAGTCTACACTTCAGTTAATAAAATCGAACACGAACTAAAAAATGCTCATTTGAATTTGAAAATAGCCATTATTTTCATACCTTACGACTCATATAGTCTTCATGCCGTCGTAAAAGGGATCATGAGTAGCCGCTGATGACAGTGATTATCTTTTTGACTCTGGGAGTAGAGATGTAGAAGCGCCAAGCCACGTGATAGCAACGCCTATGAGTTGAAGTGGTAAGATGGCATATGAGTGCGCCATGAAGCCTATGGCACGGATTTTCGGCTAATGATTTACGAATGAAATGGGTGCTGTCATTTAAATGCCTTATGTGAAGATTTTCGTGCTTTCTATCTCTTGTGTAAAGATCATAAGGAATTTGCTGCGATCTAAATCATCAACAAGAGCTCGAGAACTGGTGTAAGAAGAGTCCGACCTGCTTTTGCAGGTTCAGAACAGGAAATAGTCTCGATCTCAGTGGCGCATCGCCAATGTATTGTTTAGGTCAAATTGCAAAGGAGTAATGTTCAGACCAAAATTTAACTCTCCTTAGCACTTGCCTCATAATCAGACGTTGTAGATGAGAATGCCGAGCTTTCGGGATATTGAAGTTGTCTTATGGCTAGTTGGGCCATTTATTTTCTTTGTGAAGCCTTAGGGTAGCTTTGTCACGGCGATCTTATTTAGTCATTACTGCACTGCAATTGATCGTAATTGTGAATCGGAGGAAGATTTACCATCTTGCCACTACATTTTCGCTAGAACGACGATATCGTTAGCCCACTTAGCGCTGATCCTATGGACCCAGATTCCCGGCTCCTCAGCCTGAATACTATGCACGGGGATAATCACTGCTGTAAATCGCAGCTATACATCCAAGAGCGTCATCTAGTTTCAGCTATGATCAAACGCCAAACATATGAGAGAGAAGATAGTAAGGCGTTCTAATGAAAACCCAGCAATACATTGATAGGAGAAATTACCGCCAGGTGATTTTCTACTAAACCAGTTACAATCGACGACATTTGGCGTCTGAAAAAATGTGAAAAAATCCAGCAATCTGAATAATCACTCCCAATTTGATTTTCGTATAAACACAAAACATGCAGTTGACCTCTACGAAGTAATAAAACACCTCGTTATTCCGAATGCTTATCGAAACAGTTCAGAACATTCAACATGTGTCACATCAACGCTTCCTACTTCCAATCTGGTTGTAGAATCCTGTCATGCCAGAATTTTTGACTAATTCCTGCGGGAAAACCATAGTTATTCCTTTCAGAGAAGAGGAGAATTTCTTCGAAAAGCTTAGTTACTCACTGGAACCTTTGCAATGAAAGTGATGAGGAATTGAAGCCCGCACTTTGGAGAGTGAATAGACAATGCAACCTCGTACGTATACAACTAATCACCGCTCATCATAGTGACGGCTTGTAGAATGAAATGGCTAAAGCTAAAAAAACCTTGATTCCGTAAAAAAAATTAGAAACTTACAAAAAGCTACTAATCAGGTGGTTGCTAAGTAATAAATCAGATATGCAATCCTGAGAATTGTCATATAGCGAATGACGAAGACGTGTTATATCCTCGAGGATTAAGAACTCAAAGGCTATGGCCATTGTTTCCCTAGATCCCAGCAATGACTTTCTTTTAATCTCTGTATTGACCAGTATTTCACCATCTTCTTGATGGACAAACATGAGTTTGTTATTGCAGCATTCTTTTATACACAATAGAACAGTTTTGGTTTCCTCAGAGATATTTTATTTCTTGTAAGCCTTTTAGTTTGCTGGAGACGAGTCGTGCAGAGTATGGGTTGGCAATCAAAAAAGGAAACGAAAAAGTTTGCTTCACATCGCTCAGACCACTGAGAAAAAAGGCGGAAAAAACCCCATATGTTGGAACGAGCGCTTACAGATATCTAAGGGTCTTGGCCAACCCATTTGATTTTGAAATATGCTAGCCACAATATTCTCATGAACAGTTCATGAACACAGTTGTTGATTGACCCCAACGAAATTATGAACTACTAAAGGACAAATGGTGAAGCTCTCTGCGTTGATAAAATCCTGATGGTTGCACCAAGTATTCCACCTGATTAAGCATCGTTAGAAGTGATTAAACTCATATCTACTCTGTAAAAAGACGCCCTGCACACCGATGTATCGAGTCAGTACTGCTGTTCTCTCAGAGAAGTCTGGTACAAATTTTTCCACCCCGAGAGTTTAAATGTTTGTTGAACCCTGGCACAGGATCTAAACATAGACCGATCCAGTGTGTATTGCAGGGTACCTTTAATCATTGAATCATTGCACCGAACGCGACCGCAACGACACATTATGTTCGGCAGTATAATCACTTAGAAGAGACTTAAGAGATTTAGCCTTTATGACTGTGGCACCTAATCATCCTGCTGCACTTCAAGTCAATGCACTGCCTCTGTTGTTCCTCCACTTAACCAGTTCTTTCATAGTGATTTATCACATCTTTGGTGCTTCAAATTTAAATTTTATCACAGTTTTTATTTTGGAAGCAGAACCTTGAACTTTCAATGAACGTCAACAGCCAAAGATCAGGAACCTCACTGAACTAGATTTTAGGATTCAGATTGGTAGCCCAGGACACATGATACGCGCTAACATCCAAGGTACAAGAAAAAACATATGGTGCCCTTTAAGACCTTTTAGGGACCACAGCACACACGATACCGAAAAATAGAGATATTTCCGGCGCGTGCTTGAGTCATTACATTAACGGAAAAGCAGGTGGCGCAGGTGTTAGAGCACTTTTGTAACTTACTCGTGCTTCTTAATCGTATTATGGTGGCGTCGTTTACGTCAGCCAACTGCGGATGCAGATGGGGGCGATTTCGGAATCACGGAGTGTACTTCGAGGACATCATCATCTTCGAAAAGGACCACTGCCATGAATGACGATTGCGCGGAAGAGGACGAATGGAATATGTCTTTTTTTGGTCTTAACTGTTCATGAAGATGGGCCTTCTACGTATCCAACTATTGTGGAATTTTTCTTCTTTAATAACTCTCTAAAAGCTTTAGTGCTCTAGAGCCTCAATAAATTTTGTAAAATTTCGAACTTTCTTTAATCTTCATATTAACCCATCCAAAAACGGCTGTTTCACCAAATGCTACCGAAAGCTAAGTAACGAAAGCATAATGTCTATGGCTCATAATCCCTCCTCTCATACTTCACACACGCAGAGAGCGCTTGCGAAAAACGTGTTGCGAACAGCGAAAATTGTGCACAAGAAAGGAACAGAACGAAGAATCCTTGGAATCTACGTGGAAAATAGCCATTTCCAAAAGTCGTGAAACGCTATCTCCTCGGAATAAGGCCACTCCCTCACAAGACAAATCTAACGAGTATGTGTGTTTATTTAAACTGCCTTTTCCTCCAATGAATTAAGCACAGTTATAGCATGATGCTTAAAAATCTCGAAGAATGGATTGTATTGATTGAGAATCCACCGCACACGTTAAAACGCCAGCTTGTTCCTAGAAGTCAAATAAAGTGCTCCATTAGGCACGTATATGGCACGAAGAAATAACGGAGATTTCGAAGTAAATTCACTATCTTCGCACAAGAATCTAGAACCCCAGCGCGTAAAACTCTCGAAGCGTACTGGATAAACTTCAAAAATCCGAAGGTGGAGTGCCATGTGATCACGTATAACATCGCGCCATACCTTAGGCTGATTATTTCTGAGTTGACCCAAACACGTGCCTCACCCTGGCACATGCCTGACCGGCGTAACTTTCAGCAAGTGGACTCGCCCATTGACTGGAAATCGTATGAGGAATAAAACCATGGTTGCTTAAAAGAAGCTGTTTAACATGCAAACAAAATTTATGCATTGAGTTTTTTCTGCTTCGGCCATGAAAGTGTTTGGCTAAGTAGATTGCGTGTCACTTTGACCTTCCAGAGTTTTGAAAAAGGCAAAACACCCGAAATATCAGCCACCATTGTTGTACTGAATTAATCTTGTTATTGAAAACCTTGTGTCTGCTGAAAAATAAAGCACTTAGTTGTTGGAATTTTGTATCTCATGAAGAGTGTAGTAAACGCTGACAGTGAATGACAGGCTGTTCCTCTCATAAGAAGAACTAGCAATAAGAGTGATCTCGTCTGAATGGCTATGCCTAGTAACAACAGAATGCCACAAAGTACTACAGGATAGATAGTTTATACAGGTAATTGTCTATGTATTCAGAGAAAAAGCTAGTATGCATCGATTATGAAGATTTTTCTACAATCGAACTACTCACTAGCAAAACCTGAACTTGTACAAGCAAGAAGGAGATGTCCATAAACGGATACCATGGAGAGACATGTGATGAGAAAAGAACATCGATATTTTAAACAGATAAAAACATTTGGTCTTTAGTGATTGAAATGCTTTCACTGTGGTGGCGATGGTGGTGCGTTCGGATTGCTAGCCGGTGGTGACGGTGATCCTCCAGCTCCAACCTATGAGAAAAAATGCTAGAATTTAGTTTTTAGTAAGAGAAAACGAACAAACTCTAAGCTCTACAACAAGTGCAAAGTCTATGTAAACAGATTCGCCACTAGCCAGCTTTACACTATGCTGTTCCCTGCTGTTCCCCAGCTTTGGTGAAACGATGGGATGGTAAAAAAAAACTTCCATGAGAAATGAAGACCTCACTCTAAGATGCTGCAGCCGTTTTTAGTGGTTCATTACTTTATAAACTAGCCTAATTATTTATGATAGAGAATTAATCCTGCATACATAATATGATGATAACCAAACTACAAGCAATAACTGGCTTTATTCATCAAGTTGAACTCGGATTGAATTATCGATCCGTGACTAGACAGTAGTTCAGTCCTACTGCTTGGATTAAAAACGGACAGTACTTCGTTTTAGTGCTTGGATCAAAACAATCTAGATTCTAGAAAAAGGTCAGAACACTACAAAAAACTAACAAATTGAATACAGATTAACTACGAATTCATTAATTAATTAATCGATTGGTTACGAATTAACTCTACGAAAGAAATGATCTTAAGCTGGTCTTAGACTTTTTCATAACAAGCAGGAAGAGTCAGATTCTTTAAACTACCAACCATAGATGATTTTAAGTCAAACTTTGACGTAAATCACATTTTTCATCATGAAAAAGAGGCTTGAGTCAGAAAATGCATTCGCATCAGTGTGGATCTTCTCCACCTCAGATCGTGTTCGAAGTAGTTTCTCATAGGATATTCTTTAGAAGCATATCAGACAACTGTTAGAAAATCTTACTGCTGTACCCTTTAGCTATTATAGAAGCGAAAACCACATTAGCTGCTTTGCCCTAATAAATAGCGCTGCTATTTAATAACTAGTCAGTAACCCGACACGCTGACAACTCCTATACTTCTCGAGTTCATGAAACATTGGATAATCTTAGCTCTCAACCCATCACTAAAGCTCTAAAAGCAGGCGGCTATTCTTATACTTCTAGAATTTATGAGCGTGCTAATACAGTATTCGATTTCTACACTATAGTGCGTAGTAATTCCTATGACCAACTTTTCCTTAACCTTTTGTTGCTTAGTAGCTTTATGATTTCCTCAATTACTAGGCACCAAGTTTTCACAGACTTTCTATTAGTCTCGAAATTGATCAATAATTCGCTGTTTTCTTGATAAGGACACACGATGTTTTTACTAACAAGTAGCACTAATAATAACCTTTCGTGTGCTTATCAAGAATATAGCGAATTGTAAAGCTATGCGTTTCACGATCGATTTGTACCAGTTTCTTACCGGCGAATCAACTATGATCGCTGGACTTTGTCCTCTACACTGGATTTGATGTTTAATTCACAGCGACACTTACTGTTTACCTAATGATGATGAGAAGAGTTCACGTCCTGCCTCACCTGATCGTGATCATGACTGGCACTCGGAATGATTTTACCTATCGCCTGCTGCGCCTGTGACGCATATCCCTTCGTAGTCTCTGCTGAAATTCAATAGGATATCATAGCAGTAAAGCTGTTCAACACTTAGCATCAACAAGGAACTTTACTGCTTCAAGTTGTCTTATTGTGTTCTTAAAAGTCTTTAGCAAACAACGATTCTCTATTGTTTTAAACCATCCCATTTAAAGACGCCCTTGCCGTAAACGCAACGCTGAAAGCAGTGTTTTCACCACTAAAAGGATGAATGAAATGACTTCTTGTGGTAAATGGTTTTTCTGGAATGAAATAAAACAGACTGAATTATTCATATGTCAAAAAAGAACAGGAAAGAGAAAAGAAATGTGGAAACTTGATTACCCGCATTGGAGAGCACGTCTTTGGTCTTATCGAAAATCGAGTTCAGAGCGTTCTTCTGCAAAAATCATCTTATCAGTGGGGATTTCAACCGAGATAATCGCAACAATACTAAGTAATAAAATCTTCTACATATAACTGCGATTTCTCTTCCAGTTCATCTGGATAGATCTGTCAGAGTGTCAAGATGTACATGGCCTGGACTCCAGACGGGGTTGTAGCGATTTGGAGATTCACATTGATCAAAAGAAGTGCTTAAATAGTCTGCGAAGTCTCGATACTTCAATTTCATCTGAGCTACGTAAATGACTCCTGGCTGAATAATCTAATCAAATTTGAAATTACGAACTCCTGAATCGTTACGCTTCATAAATTACTGAGAAAGGAGAACCTAAGCCCTTCAAATTGTCATTTACTTTCAGTCCATAAGTAGGAGCTTCCACAAAGAACCCTATTCAATCCCAACTGTTCAGATTTCAGAGTGCGATAAATAAAGAGTAAACTAGTTCCGCCTTTCATGTGTATGAACAACATAGGTGAAGAACCCTACTCTTTGACCGAAAACAGACATGATATGGTGAATACGAAAAGGGTGTTCCTTAAACTTAAGTCTGGCCTATCTATACTTGCAACACACACTAGTATCTTAATTTATCACTTAGTGCCTGACGGCACATGCTACGAATACTAAGTTCAAACAGGAGGAGAGGAAAGGATGAAGGATAAAGTTTCTGGCGATAATTAAGCCGTTAGGGATGCGACATACATTCGAGTTCACGAAGCATCGTTACAGGCAATAACTGCGTTACACGCTCAATGAGAAAATACCGCAGATTAAATAGCGTTGATGGTATCTAAGGAGGACTGGGACTGACAAAAAGCTAGTGATATGCTATCGTAAAAACACTCACCGCCTTTCCGTCCCGGTTAACATGAATATGGTCATGAACATCAATTCTTATGGAGAAGTAGCTATACGGATGGGATGTCACCGATTGATAACGTGTGAGCGTAGGCTGACTTTTACAGTTTACACAGTGGACTCTCCAACACTAGTCTATGATGATGAAAAATTGTAGCATTTAAAGTAGGTCAGAAAGAGAAGGACTATGCAGGGATTAAAATGCGACGAACAGAATAAGAGGCTATCCGAGTTTATCACAATGATTAAATCCATTTATGGTAACAAACAATTTCGGTAGTTCCTCTGGGATAGATATATGACTGTTCCAGCAAAATAGTCCATAGCTATTTGGAGGCTTTCGCTGAGAAGTGCCACTCTTGCCTCAGTACTGGTCTTCATCGGATGGATGTTCTCACTTCGCATGAGTATTTCTCTAGCAAAAGGTAAAAAGCGTCAAAATTTGGGAAACAATGTGTTATAGTTGCAATAATTACGTGTCCGGGTCGGGAAATCAAAACGCTGAATGGCTTTGCTGCTGAGCTACAGTAAACCCACAACCCAGAGAACTTAAGAGTGCTTCACAGACCTTGTAAGGATGATAAGGAACACCTGATATCGTGCCCACCTCAGTTCTGCGGCTTTTTCCTTCCTTACTTCCTTACCCTGCGCTTTTGAAACCACGATACTAGGCAAGAAGGATGAAACACCGGAGTTGTCATACGCGTTGCCGAAAGGATAATGTATTGAATAGCATGCATCTCTTAAGAAGAAAGGAAGTCACAGGTTTTCACCTACCATAAAGAATCGGATACACTATTTCATAAACCCCCGTTAGTCACATCACTTGGATTCCAAGCGTAGAATATTAAGGCCACCGAAAATCTGTTTTTCAAAAAGTCTCTAAAATAGAATTAAAATAAGTCTTCTTGTACTTCAAACGAGCGGAGCTCACTAGGCTACTTTAGCACGCGTCAACAAACACGAGAGAAATTGTTGGCTCCGGTTTTAGTCACACGACGATTAGAAGGATGGAGCGAAGGTATAAATAGTGTTCTCACTATCTGAATAAGTGAAAACATGGACTAGAAATTTGCACACAGATCCCAAAGCGTTGCCGATCTCACCACAAGTTATCACCGTGAACATATCCTGAAACACCCACCTTCATTAAATCAACAGAAAAAATGTTTCTGACCCCAGTATGTAAAATACAAAACCTAAAATTCCAGTGTACACTTGACAAATTTTCCAGCTTGAAAGAGCCTCCATGACGATTGAACACAGAAATGAAACTATACCAGAATTCTTAACCCCTAGGACACTATCAGAAATCTTCAAATCTTCGCGCTTTGTGTGGGCCACTAAAAGGGATAAACGGAAACAGCGTGGAGAAGTGTTCGTGGAATCCTCGTATTTTTTTGTGCAGTTGGAAAAGGAAGTCCTGCGGAATGAGGGTATTCTAATCCAATCCAGTGGATTAAAAATAGTTGCGAATATTTAGATATTAATTTTAAGGAGGTTCTGAATTTCTTAAGCGAAATGATGGAATCGGAGATTTTGCTAAAATTAAACAGTCTCACCCTCAATATCTGGCTGTGTTGCCAGATAAATTACAAATGGAACTGGAATCCAAAAATTTAAGATTGCTCAGCCTCAAGTAAACATATCCATGTGGTACCTACCAAATCAATATCTATCTGCATTCACAAGGCATTGTTATGATCCAAGACCCAATTAATTTTTTGCATTCTCCCATGAAAATGAGTCAGATAGAAAAAGTCCATTCCTCTTTAGTTCTTCTGCCGACTCACTTGAATCAGTACTGATGGCCACGCCTGAATTCCTATGCAAATCGAACACTTGCCTTCCATGAGTGTAATGGTCTGAACCACTTCCGTCTAACTGGAATGTCTCTTGTATCTTTGTGGTTTAACCCTGCATAATATAGCTCTTAAGCAAAACTTAGTTAATGGAGAAGCTAAGAGCCTCATTATAAAACCGGAATTCTATGAATATTTCACTGACTTCCGAAAAAAGAGATTAAGCGCCAGATTCTTCATGATTAGTAAAAGTACAGAAAAAGTTAGAGGTCACTTCTTCTGCGCTGAAACCATAGCACCAAATCCTTAGACGTCAAGGCTTTCACCAAATAACATATGCGTTATATGTGTCAGTTAGAAGGGTAAGGAACTGAATTAAACCTGATAAATCACTGAATTTCTAACAATTACCATTTATATTTTTAAAGAGGACAATACGACGAAGTAGAACGAAAGACCAGTGCAAAAGATGCAAACAAAGCTGTAAGTTGTGCTAAACCTTTAAGACTTGCTACAACCAAGACAGCCATGGCACTGAGAAGTGATTTAGAAGCACTAGATAGGACCGGAAAACAAGGGAAAAATGGAAATGTGCAATATCGGAGATAGGCATAATGATTGGATAGCCTTTGGAGAAAAATGCTTGGTGTCCCACGCTAACACAACGGATTCTTAGATAAATAGAAATACTCTATATAAAAAAACTAGCCACTTGTAGATTTCTAATGAGTGGCTTATGACGTGTGGCAAGGCCGAGTTCCCCATTGCTCGACGGCATATCGGCATTTGAATAATTTAAAAGACTTGATTACATGTTTGTTGTTTGCAGAGCTTAATTTAACTCGATACCACTAGATCAGGCATTCACATAAGTACATTAACGACTCTCAATAGTTTGGATTAACAAACAGAACATAGGGCCGTTACGAATTCAGACAGGCGCGATTATCGCAATGGTTTGAAGTACCACAAAACGCACACGTGGTCTTTGATTCGATCTCGTCGTCTAGGCTAACAAGGCCCTCCATCCTTCTGGGATCGGGAAACTGCTTTTTTTCAAGAAATTGCAAATTTGCCTGGAACGATAAAAATGCTTACATGATTAATCGGTAAGTTACCGACAGACCAGATATGCCTTAAATCATCACTATGACGCTTGATGAAGACGAATGCATGGCGCATACCTCGGGGAGCGGTCAACGCCGAACGATTCAACGTCTTCGATGCTTCATGTGATTCAGATCCAGCGGCCAATTCAACGGATTGGTGACCCATTGCGCCACAGTAAGTTAGTTTGGACCATGAATGTTTCCTCTTAACAGATTCCCATGTTTTCAGGTAATCAAAACTTCCTGGTAACGTATCCGAACAATGAGCTTCGATAGCGATTAGTTCCACTTATAACCACTCTAGGGTGAAGAGTAAAATGTAAAAATTTTCATGATGGTCAACAGCATCGTCCGAGACCATTCTACTAAATCACCTCTGCACTCTTGCAACCATAACCACATCCGCTGACCGCCGGCCTATACTTGACACTTGACATGATGTGGATATTCAGAGATAGAAGGGGATAGAGACCGTCGTCAACACTTACCGCAGCATCAGCAGTTCCAGCCATAGTAGTCGTTAGCTTGCCAGACGAGTGGCCTACCTCATCGATTTTACGGGCAACAACACGACCACGCCTCTGCTCCTCAAGCGTTTTCCTCTCTGGGACTCTCGATGGATGTGCGGTAAGCCAGAGCATAAAGAGGCAATGGACGCAGATGGGGACAGTAGATGCTGTGAAAGCCAAAACATTTTAAGAACCCACTGCTGCACAGAACTAACAAATTTCTCGGCCCGACGCAACTAATTGTGTGTTAAATTGGAATTGGCCGGGGGTACACGCTCAGAGCAAAAACAGGAAGGAACCCCCATCGTAGGAAGAAGAAGTCCACGGTGTTTGCGTTCTGACGTCCCAGTACAAACGAAGTTTCAAGAACATCAAGAATATAGACTAAAAGAAAGTGGTAGACCGGAGGAAGACGGCTGCATTACTTTTGCAGATTTGTCCCTCACTGTTGCTGAACGACTTTGCGGAGTCATTGGAGGATAAAAATTTTCAAAGAAGTAAACGTAGATGAGGATATGATGAGCGCTCGTTGAGTAGTGCTCAATACCTGGAAGATTGGTGCTTACAATTGTTAAATGTCAAGATGTGACCCTAGTGTTTTTTTTCGTTGTTCTCATCGCTAGATGTGGTTAAGAAAAGTTCAGTAAACTATGAATTCGAAAACATCAAATAAACCATAAAAGTGTCAAGTTTTAAGAAAGTATGCTAAATCCTGCTACAATATTCAAACCTAACTCACCTTTGTAAAGTAACAAACATAGCGTAAAAAACTGATGCAATACGTGCAGTCTGTTTTATCCCCGCTCTGTAAATCGTATCCTCTCTATCAACTCCAAGCCGTTTAACCATCGAACGGTTCGAAACCGCACAAATGAAGTCTCTGTAGAGCAAAGTCACACAAATCGTTCGCCAGAGGCCGTGCCTAGGCACCGCTAAAGCCCCGTAGTTAATTCCATTAGTTTGACGGACTAGAAAAGTACCGTGATTTTCGTGTGAGACTCTTTAATGTTGCCCCTTTTCATGAAAAGGCGGCAGCAATGGATAGCTTGCAGAATTCTGTGGAATAAATTTTTTTTTAGTTAGCTGGACTTCCGATTTTACTGCTGGGATGGCTCTCCTATGAGATGGATTCCCGATCCACACTACATTTCAACACGCTGAAATGCCGTCAGCCGCAATAAGGGAGTAAGTAATTCATTAATGAGGTATGTGCAAACGATACACACACCCTCGCTCTGTAGATACACACGCTAATGCTATGGACGTATTCGTACATTCTCACATGCATAGTGAATAGAATCCACTCTATCGCGCCGTAAATGTAATACTAAGCCACATATACCCTTTAAAGAAGGAACGGAAGACGATTCCCAAGTTCATATCAGACATTATGAAGGTTTAGGACAGCACAGCATTACTCGTCAAAGGCAAAAACGGATATATTCGTTGCTTGGACTCTAAAGTAAGACTACGTCGAAAAACCAGTAAAAAGATAAAGGATGAGGCTCGTGGAATTGATCAATCTCTGAGGAACGCGCTATTCATTCGACTTCATCATGCATCCTAAGAGACGAATGAATGCATATTTGGCCTACACAACGGCTTACGGTGGCTTACCGATATGTCGACTCAGTGCTTCTATCTTTCCAGACAGATCTGGTGCTAATTTTCGGACCGCAGAAGGGTGGAAGGCCTGGTGAGCCTGAGGCGTGGAATCGAACCCATCTGTATTATGGAGCACCTAATAACACTACTAACCAAACCACTACGCTACAGGTGGCCCCAGAAAACCAATAAATTTCTGAAATTCCAAGGGCAAAATAGGTTTCTAAAAAGAGTCATGATAACGACATCTGGGTAAAATAATGCTGGCATAGGAAACATCGGCAAGGAAATTGAGAATAAAAACGATTAACAATAAAACCCGTAATCCCATGAAGGCAAAACAGTGTTGACATCGATTCTTTTGTAAAGCTTCAACAACATTTGAGTTCTTCCACTACAAATCGATTTCACTTGAAATATTTACGACTTCGGTAAACCGACTTTCATTTAACCTCTATGTGAACAATCAATATCTATTTTCAATCCCTCCTTTTTCAAATTTTCAATCAATCCCGCTGACGGGTGATTGCTGTGGCAAAGATCGATAGAAATAGCTGAGAGACAGGCGAAACAAAGGACCCGTATGGTGTGGTGGTGAACGCGTTATTCCCGGAAAGGACAATAACGCGTTTGTTCCCCACCATAGACACCTGCGGTCCAGAGTTTTGCAAATATCTCAGCAACGTTGTGGTTGTATTTCGCTTAGTACCTTGCCGTGAAATTATAGTAGGCAGAAAATAAAAAGGTATAACGTTGTAATATCTATTTTGTTCACAGACTATTTTTACTCGACTTACCCTACTATTCGCTTTTATTTTCATTGACTACTTTTTGTTTGCTTCTGCTCTACTATGAATCAAAGAGGAAAGTGAAATCAAAACAGTCGATACATATCCCGAAATCCAATGCGGGAGAGACTATGGCTTACCATGTTGACCAACAAGGTGATCCGACGCCATATTTGTGCATCCTTAAGAAAATCGCCCAAGCCCACCATTTCTGGATTTCCTTTCAAAATAACAACGAGAACCAATTGGTGAATAACTCAGAGTTTTTTTCTAATTTACGACTGTGCTACCAATCGGTGAACCCGAATGAATGGCATTTCATTGCTGTCCGTGCGAGATCGAAGTTTTCGACGACGCATACAAGTTCATGAAATATCACTACACCCGAATGGAAATGAGTTCCTGCCGATAAGGGGTCCTGAACTTCGTATCCAATAGAGAATACGCTCTGGAAAATTTCATATGAGGTACCCAAACGATAGAGTGATTGAAAATTAACTCCCTATTGTAAAATACCTACAATCTTTTTCTTAGCTACCATATTTACAAGAAATAAATACTAGAAAGCGTCTAGGACAAAGTTTTATTTAAAATTTACCAATCTTCCTACCAAATCAACGTTATCTCTACATGTTCCATGCGAATGTCACAATCCCTACAGTGGTTGACCATTGTGCCGACTTCCAAGTACGCCTTTAAGCGCAGTTCGTATTCAGTGAAAGCAGAGTCCAAAACGACTGTCGAATTCATTTCTTTTGGCACGAGTCAAGATTTCATGAACAGATTACACTACATCGGGGTCACCGAAACTGGATGGTCGATCGCTTTTTTGAGTATAGGCTACAGATCCTGTAACCATGAGCTCTGCATAACAATTCTTTATCGCCTTTTGTCAACTTGAGCGTGTCGTCTTTAATGGCCTTCTACCATCCTTATACTTTCACAACGGAATTCCAGACTTCACAGCGTGTCGCTAGCTGCGTACGCTCTCGCGGTGCGGAGCGCGACATCCGCTTATGCCTGCAGGGATTACAAATTTCAAACAAAGACCTGAAAAAACAACAGTATAAGTAGTCCTCACAAATTAAGGGACATTCATGAAAAAATATGAGGAGAACTTTGCAGTACATAAGTCATAAATATTTTCGGGCAGCGAGTTAATTTTCAACCACTCTGTAGATTGCGGATTGTTTCACAACCCACTCTAATTTCTTAGAGGATTTTTATACGTTTGTCAGTCAACAGTGCTCCGACGAGATTTATGCCAAGTTCAGGACAGAAAAGAAAGAAAAAGAAGAGGAAAATAAAAAAAGGAAAGAGGAAGACTCGCTAATTATGAGACTTTATTTTTCTTTTTTCTTCTGAACCTAAGTAGAGGCAGTGCCAGTGTCTTTTTCATCACGTTTAAGAACATCACAAAAAAAAAGACGGATTAGGAAACCATGAATGGAAAGATCACTACTTGTTTTTTCCTCAACAATCTCTCCACACTTTAGTGCATCATGTCAAATATGTATTAGCAATGAGAAAAAAGAATAGTAATCGCTGCCTTGATTCCTTCCATAAGATCACTTCTATTGAAACAAATAAATCTGGTTTTCAAATAACGTAGATCTGCCCAAAAGAAATGGAAGGACATCGTAGTATACTCGACATATGTCTAGCGAAAATTGCTAGCTTCCCATAAGCTGGACATGAGCACGAAGATAGCATAGAATAGAAAAATTCATAAGGCTGTCAAGAAGGGCAAAAAATAGCCATTCTACTCATTATTATTCGAACAGGATTCTTCCTACCGTAATACGTGGCAGAAGTTTACACTACTTGTGAGAAGAATAGGAGGAGCGAGGGACCCAAAGGACGACGTTTACGAAATCAGCGAGACGATTGTGCTAAGTGCTCATCATTTGAGAGAGGGAAGTAAGTGGGTTAACAGAATCTATATCTCTTTCTTTTGATAACCTTAAGTCAGCAACGATATAGTGTTTAACTTTAACTTATAATTTTCTAGTGTCTTGGCTTAATAACGATCCAAAACTCCTAGGACTGACTTTCTTTTAACCTCGGCACTGATCAACAACGCAGTTTTCTTGATGAGGACACACGAGAACGTTAACACCAAGATTTATTCAGTACAATATATTAGCTGACATTTCAGCGGTTTCGCTTTCTTTAGAGCCTTTAACGGTCAATTTGACATTCAATCCATTCAGCCAAACACTGTCATAACCTCAACATATAAAACTTAATATGTAAATGTTTATTCGCACAATGAATGGCTTCACTTAAACGCCCATCATTTCGTTGTTCATGAGTTCTCCGGTTATTATTGGAGATCAACCGCACAGAGTCCCGCATGGGTGAGAAATGTGCCCGACGCAAGTCAAAAAAATGAGCCTGAGAAATGGCCGGAGGTAGCGCGCGATCACAAGGTAATCCTCGCGTTTCTCAAGTATGTGGAGTATACAGTCATTGCTGACTAGAGTATTATGGAGTATCGTTATAGAGTCGACTTTTTCACTTGAGTCAAGCACGTTTCGTGCGACTGCTCTCCTATATTAACCGGAGGATTCAAGAATAACAAAACGGTAAGCGCTTAAGAGAAGCTGTTCACTATACGAATAGGCATTTATGCGTCATGTTTTCTCTGCTGGGGTTATGATGGCGTTTGAATGAGTGGATTTGATGTCAATTTGACTCCTCAAGGCTCTGAAGAAAACGAAACCGCCGAAATTTCAG